CGGGGGAGTAGGTTTTCGTCGTCCAGCGGCACCACCGCCCACGACATCTTGACCTCCTCATAGCTCGTGTGGCAGGGGGAAATGATCTTAATATAAGTGATCATTGTCGTGGATCTGCATTTTCACAAACACCTAGTCAGTAATTTAGTCAGGCCATATGCCTACACTAGCTTCTGCATATTATTAGGGAAAACTTAAATAAGAGATGGAGCAGTAACCAAGATAAACTTTAATAAACATTTGATTAACCTTGAGGAAGTTGACTCTGAGTGTCTCTTCAACACTGTAGCTCTAGTACCATATACTAAAGGGATGCTTCATGATACAAAGTCTTTCAGTAGTACAAACCAATTCATGTATTGGGAAGCACAGATCACATAGTCAAGTAAGCATTCATCATGAACCAAGAAGCCTCGTGTTTCCGATCATTAGAAAATGATGTGAAAGGATGGGAGTGACTCGACAAGGAAAAGATAGGCCCATGTAACGCAGAGTGACCCCAAGGCATGTGAGTCCTCGGTTTCGATGTTGCATGGGAAGTAGGGATTTGCCAAGGTATGCACAATGGATGTCAAGTGATTTGTACCATGAGTGCTATGCTCTACATGATGAATAAATGGGTGGTAAGGAAAGTAACAAGGTATAAGCCTAAGCAATAAGACTCATCTCGCTAAATTAAGACTAAGAGCTTGATAGAGAGAAAACATGGCATCTATCTTATTCTACTTTACTTCTTTCCTTTTATCTCTTTTTTATTTTTCCTTTTTTCTTTTTTCTTTTTTCTTTCCTTTTCCCTTTTTCTTTCTTTTGTTTTTTCTTTCCTCTTCTCTTCCCTACACAAGATTAAGAGGTGCCGACAAAAGCTCTAATATATGAAATAAAAGCGAGGCATAAAATGGTTGGAGGATTTCAACGAACGCTAAACATGATCACTAATATGCCTCCTTTAAAGATGTGCAAGGCAAAATATAAATGTGCATGGCAAAAGAATCCACTACTTGGAATAGCAAATGAGAAGATGCTATGATAGGTAGATATGGTGGACTCGCTGGAAGACTGAAGTGGCTTAATGGGTATTTCTCTTTTTTTT